GCCTCGGCCTCCCAGAGTGCTGGGATTACAGGCGTGAGCCACCGCGCCCAGCCCAAGAGTCTTTTATAAAGAAAAAAAAAATAGAGGGATGGATGGATGATTGGTGGATGGATGGGCGACTGGCTGGTGGACGGGAGGGTAGCTGGGTGGGTGCGTGGACGGATAGATGGGTGCGTGGATAGACAGGTAGGTGGGGGAGGTGGAGGATGGATGGGCGGGTGGAGCTCCAAGTTTGGATCTTTTGGTTTCAGAGGGATGCTGGCAAATTAGGGTATGGTCATAAGAAGGGATTGGCAAAAGCAAACGTGCCTCTTCCCAGCTTCCAGAGAAGAAAAAAACAATTGCCAAGAATGTGTTAAAGTATCAGGATTACATAAAATCCCACTACGACTGTGAATCATATAGGAGGCAGCCCAGGTTCTCGTTTAGATTAAAAAGGAGTCTATGGCTGTATCAGCCTCAACGCGCCCGATCGCGTCTGATCTCGGAAGCTAAGCAGGGTCCGGCCTGGTTAGTATTCGGATGGGAGATTGAAAAGGAGACTCTATGAAATATCGTCGCGCCATCTGGTGGACAGAGCTGGTAAGTGCACCCATCCCTTGGCTCCAGACGAGCTCTGGGGACGCCCAGCGACCCAGGTTGCTGCGGGACTGCGGGGAGTGTGTAGCTCGGGCGGGAAGACGCAGGGTGACTTTGGCTTGCCATTCTCTTTGGAGCAACTGGTGGGGCATCCTGATGGGGAAGATTTCTGCCCCTTAGACAGAAGGCTCTTCAAATTGGAAGAATTTTCCAGAGACTAGACTCTGCCCCTGTAGTCAGGGGGCAGAAGATCCAGGTTTGAATGCCACAAGTGCTGTGTGACCCTGAGCCAGTCCCTTCCCCTCTCTGATCCTCCATTCTCTCCTCCACGGGGCTCTCATCCTTGGCCTGGGATTTCTCATTTTAGTCCCAGGAGAACCTCTAGGAGCTGAACGAGAGATCAGTCCCGGGGGTTCCTGAAGGGGGTCTCTGCCCACCCTGGTGAGGTGCCCAGCCTGACCAGGCTCTGAAGAAGTCCTAAGGGATTGCCCTGCTGGGAGGGACTGGGAGAAGACCTACTTGCCAATGGCGTAGGTGTAGGCCCCCGGCCAGAGGTTGGAGCGCACGATGGCCACGGAGTACTGTGGGCAGAGGGTGCAGGACAGGCGGGCGGTCCACGCCGACATGTGCATGATTTCTGCAGTGGGGGGGCCAGAGGGGCAGCAGGGTCAGAGGGTCCCCATGCCCTGCACAGCCCCTGGGGGAAGGGAGGGAGCAAAGAGTGGGGCGGGAGGCATGAAGAGAACTGCGACAACTAATGACATCGCTTTGGTGTTCGAACCCTGGCTCTGTACCACTCTGTCCCTGTCTGCCCCCGGAAAGCCACTTCCCTGCCTGAGCCTCAGTGACTGCACCCGGGACATGGGGATACTCCTCTCACCCGCCTTGCAGGGTGGCAGCGAGTCCTGCTGCAGTGCCTGGTACCCAGCCTCTCTGTGTTGTCCCGGCCTCAGCCGGCAGGTGGGCGAGATGAGGACACTTACCTGCATCCTCTGAGAGCGGCGTCAGCAGTGGAGGCCCCACCTCCTGCTCCACCTCCTCCAACCCCTCATCTGCCTTCTCTTCCTCCTCTCCCAGCTCCTCCTCCTCCTCTGTCTTCTGCAAAGGGTTCACCCAAGTGCAGCGGCCCTGGGGGGGTGGGGGGGGAAGGTCAGGCGGCACCCCCAAGGGACAGAGCCCAGCCTGCATGCACCCTGGGAAGAGAAGGGCCAGGCAGGACACTGGAGCACTGGCCCTGTCCCCAGGGACCCAGGTATGGGCAGGAGGGTAGGGTCAGTCACACAGGTAAGGGGCGAGAGCTGTCGCAGTGAGGTGGGGACCCCTGCCTCCCACTGACTGTGCGACCCCACTCGCACATCCATTCACTCGTTGATTCATTTATCACATAATTAATGAGCCCCTACCATATGCAGGCACTGCTCTAGGTGCTGGGGATACATCCTTGAGAAAAGAGACCCCCAAATCCCTGCCCTTGTGCAGATATATTTGGCAGCCCATGTGATCCTCTGTTTGCCCATCTGTGAAATGGGGGTGTCAGGGGTGCTTTTCTCATTGGATTTTGTTCGCTTGTTTGTTTGTTTTGAGACTGTGGTGTCAGCCTAGCTCACAGCAACCTCAAACTCCTGGGCTCAAGCGATCCTCCTGCCTCAGCCTCCCGAGTAGCTCGGACTACAGGTGCATGCCACAATGCTTGGCTAATTTTTCTATTTTTAGTAGAGACAGGGTCTCAATCTTGCTCAGGCTGGTCTCAAACTCCTGAGCTCAAGCGATCCTCCCACCTTGGCCTCCCAAAGTGCTAGGATTACAGGCGTGAGCCACCGCGCCTGGCCTCTTATTGGATTGTTGTTGGGTTACATATGATACTCAAACGCCAATGTTTGTTGAATGAATGAATGGGCATAAGTGCACAGCAGACAACAAACCTCCATTTTATCAACTCTGACATGGGCAGGATGGCTGCACTGATTTCAAAAGGGGTTATTTGGACTCAATAAAACATTGTAGAGTCAATAACTGTTGAATGAATGAATGAATGAATGAATGGGGAGTTCCTAACACACAGCAGGTGCTTCTTTGAGTGAATAACTATATGACTATAAATATATGACCAGGGTGCATCCCGGTTCCTATTAGGACACACTAAGGACTTAATAAAGGCAGGTCCATAATCTCTTGTCCAACAATCTGAAAATCCCAAAAGCTTTGAAAA